AGTTGGAGAAAAGGTCGCTGAGCAGCTTCTGGGCGAAGCGGCCATGGGCCGAAAAACACCCTGCAGACCGGATTACTCTGGATTATTATGAATTACTCTGGACTACTAATTCTTAAAGGCTTGTTTGATAACTTTTTCTCATGTTTCTTTAATTTCTCTTTTCAAACGTTAAACTTGTCTCCAGGAGTCTTTGTCCTCTGATCTGATTGTGAATCGTTTCTAATCCGCAGCACTTTCTGCTGCAGCTGATGCATTCCCTCCTTAATTAACCTGATCATCACCTCAGCCTTAATCTGGAACAACAGGATTACACTAATCCACTCATTAAGATCAGAATCTGATTCAACTCTTTTAGAAATTAAAGTTGTTCAGCATTCTTTTCATGAGTTTATATTTCTGTATTTATTATGTTTGATTGGTTTGATGCCTGCAGCTGCAGACCAATCAGATGAGAGAACCCTGCAGGTGATCCATCAGAACCTGATCTCCGGTTCTTCCCGTCTCCTCCTCTGATCAGAGGAATTTCCTCATAAGGGTGGAGGGAAACTCTGCAGATCCATAAATCAGGAATAAAATCCATGAAAAGCCCAGAACCAGCAGCAGAACCAAGTGGAACTGCTAAGGTTCTGTTGCAATCCCAGTCTGGCCCACAGCTGCTGCGTTCTGATGAAATGAGGTGCAGATGAATTATAACTACAACATGAATGAACCTGCTGTGGTTCTGAAGGAAACAGGAATAAAACCCAGTGAGTCTCTGTGGCTGTTGGAAGTGAACCGGGTTTTTGTTCGGCTCGGTTCTGGTCCGATTCATGTTTCACTGAGTTGAGCAGCAGCTCGTTGAACTAAAAAGGAGCGGCTGCTGCGGTGCTGACCTTCAGATTCCTGAGGACAGGAGATGCTGCTGCTCTGGACAAACATGGACATGCTGACTAGGCCAGGTTCTGGCCCGGTTCTGGCCCACTATCTGCACCAGCTGGGGATGTTTGTCAGAACCTGGCGGCCTTTAGCGCGTCTGGGAGATAATCTGAGACGGGCTGCCTCCCACGTCTCTCTGGGCTAAATATTTACCTTGTTAGGCTGATTCTCTCTGGCGGCCATCTTGCCTCTGGGGTTATTTACCTCCAGATTAGATCAATTTCCTGCTCAACTTCCCTCTGTTTACCTCATTTCTAACCCTTATTACTCAGCATGCTCTTTAACTCTAAGGACCAAATCACAAACTGAATCAGATACAGATCAAAGTCACCATAAACATTTACTTGTGCTGCATTACATCATGAAATATTTTCTTCTGCCTCGTTAATAAACCCCAACATCTGATTGATTCAGCTTTCGGCCGGGGAACCAATCAGGTGACGCCTCACAAATCAACATCATGGTCAGTCCTCAAGCCACAACTTTTACTCAATAATACCAACAACTTAAAGAAACATCTTATTAACTGAATAACTGAATGATGATGCGTCAGGAGGCGTGAAGAGGTCAGAGGCTCTCTGTCTCTGTCTGTCTGTCTGTCTGTCTGTCTGTCGCTTCTTCTTTCTTCAGCTTCAGAGAAACAATCCTGGGTCCAATCAAATCACCAGAACCAACTTCCTGTTTCTGTCTGAACTGTGGAGGGAACTCTGGTCAGATGGTTGGTCCAGGTCTGAAAATGATCCAGACATGTGAGCTAATGCTATCATGGACAGACAGCTAACAGCTGTTAGCTTTCCATGGACAATAATAATTATTATTATTATTGTTGTTGTTGTTGTTAATATTATTAATATAATAATATTAATGATTATTATTATTATAAAATCATTAGTAATAGTAAAAAGTAATAAAGTTCACAGTAAGCCAGTTCGTTTACATTTCATAAACTGGACTGGAGTGTTCTGGTCGTTTATTTCTGTCTCTTGTGATTCTGGTCCTTAAAGCATTAGATGTCCATAAGTTCCTCCCCCCTCAGCATGATGCTGCCTCCACCAGATCACCATCAGATCACACTGGAGCAGAACCCACCAGAACCAGAAGAACTCGGCTCATGAAGCTCAGCTACTTGGAAGGTTCTGGTCCAGAGTACTAGTGGACCAGAACCGGGTCACAGAAAACCAAACCAGCCAGATAGAACTGATTAAATGTAACCAGAGAGGACATGGAGAACCTCCAGACAGGTTCTGGATCTGGTTCTGCTGGATCAACTCAGTGAACCTAGATTGAAGGTTCTGGTTCTGATGAGAAAAAGTTCTGCTGAAGTTCTGCTTTGATGTTTCAGAAGCTGCTGGTTCAGAAGCTGGACCGGACCGGGATGTTCTGCCTCTCTCTGTTTACAACCTTGGTTCTGTCAGAACAGAAACTCTTTTTAAATATTCTTGTCCTGAAGGTTCTGACCCATTCTACTACATCTCACTGCCAAGCAGAGCCAGAACCAGTCTGTAAAGGTCCTGACTTCTGTCCTGCAGGTGGGATGTGATGGACTCCGTCCGTCTGGAACCTCCACAGAACCGGCTCTGTTCTCAGAATAAAGCATCAGAACTTTGTGTCTCAGTACCAGTAGAGGATCCAGTTCTGGTTCTGGTCCAACCCCAGTGCAGACCCACATTAAGCTGTTCTTACCTGGAAGCAGCAGCAGCAGCAGGACGGCCGAGGTTCTGCAGCAGAGCTCCATCCTGGTTCTGATCCGATAGCCCGACTGGGTCCAGCCTGAGGAGGAGAGGGAAGAGGAGGGGCTGAGGCAGAGGATGGTGATGAAGGTCTGAGCGTGTGCAGTAGAGCTCTGGTCTCTGATGTATGAGGAGTCGTTAGTGCTCCTCTGGCTCTGCTCCATGTTAGGACAAAACTCTGCAGGACACTGTCCACCATGCCTGGAGGACAGACCTGGTTCTGTCCACAGAACTAGGTCTGGTTCTGCTCACCCAAAACTCCACCAGTCAGTTCCTCTTCGATCCAGTTAAAGAAAACAGACTGCAGTTCATCTGATTCACGATTGAATTCAGTTTTTTGAAGATTTTTGTCTGAGCATGTTAGGTTCAGTTCAGTTGAGTTCAGTTCATCAGTTCAGTTCATTCATCGCTTCATTCCACTTGATTCTGCCTATCAGTGCAGAAAGCTGAATTCATTGTTCAGGTGAGATTAAAAAGTTTCTAAGGAAACGCAGCAACATGCTCATCGTGCAGCTCTGGAGACGGGACTTCCTGTAGAATGTGTTATAGTCAAAGTCTGCAGAGGTTTATCAAAACGTGGTGAAGCTGGAAAACAAGCTGACTTTTTCTCCTACTGCTCTCCACTTTGCTGTTATTCCAGATCTTAACTTTTTGTTTTTTTTCTCAGTTATTTCTACACTTGCCCTGTGTTCTGATTGGCTGATTCCCTGCTGGAGGCGGGGCATCACCAGTCATGATGCTGCCATCACCTCATCGTTTTCTGTCTCCTGCTGTGAACTTTTTACTGTAACATAGAAAGTTCTTCAGTTTTTCTGCTCTGTCAAGCCCCTCGTACCGACCGGGTTCTGGTTCTGCTGGAGTTTTTTTTCCTGTTGAAGTGAAGCTACTCCTGCTGGTCAGGAATAGCTCTGCTGGGTTTCCATAGGAACTGAACTGATTTAATATTCCTCCATTTAAACGTTAAAATAGATAATAAAAGAAAGTATTTTCATAAAAACAGAAGCTCAAACATTCCTGCTGTGAACATAACCAGAACCAATACCAGAATCAAAACCAGAACCAGAACCAGCTGATGGTTCTGGCCCAGTTTCCCAGCTGCAGAAGGACCGACAATGTGACGTCAGCTGAGTGTCCAGCAGGGGGCGCCAGAGACTTTTAAATCAGCAGGATCAGGTTCAGCTGCTGGGTTAGGGTTACCACCGAGCAGCAGATCAAAGGTTTTGGTTTTGCTTTTGGGTCTTTCTGACATTTATATATTGATTCATTATTATTAATTTATTTGCTCTGCCTTCTAGAGTTGTTATTTTTGAACTTGGTTTGCTGTCTTGCACAATCATAATAAATTAATTCTGATTTTGATCTGGTGGGCAGCAGCATCAGATCTGGAAGAGAACCAGAACCACAGCAGAACCAGAACATAATCTGCATTCTTCATCAGGTTGTTTAGCCTCTTCAGGTCTTTGATTCTGGTTTTGGTTCTGCTCCGGACGGTTCTGGAGGTGTAAAGGAATCTTCAGTCAGAGGTGTCAGAAGACTGCTTTAGTACAGACTGCTACAGGAGGCTGCTTATTGAATGATTTGAGTCATAAAATCTGTAACATTTCATTTTCCCCCGGGAGCAATAAAGCATTTCTGAATTGACCAAAAAGGATTAATGATTTAAAAATGTTCATGTTTCAGTTAAATGTTTGTATGAAATAAATGTTTTCTTTGCTTTAATGCATAAGAAATAAGCAGATTTGAATGTAATTTAGTGATAAATTGTATGGGAAGTTATGTGTTTGTTTGTTTTTAGGTTTTTGTTTTAAATTTATTTCAAACAAATTACATGAACAGCCATACAAATGTTAACTCAAAGGCAAATATTAAAATATTATAATAAGAACAAATAAAGAATAATTACAGATATTGAGGGTGTTGATGTTAAAGTCTAGAAAGACAAAACTTCATTAAATATATATACATTGGTAAAATAAAATGATGTGTACTTTTTCAGTTAGGTTTTCATAAAGTCTCAAAAATATATTCAAATACTTATGAAGAAGGGTATATTGTAGCAAAAAGAACAATAAGGACAAAACAAGAAAATAAAAAAAAATAACTTACGAGATTAAGTTAAATTTTTGGGGAAGAGTTAAAGTTTTAACCGAAAAAGTTTTTATTATTAAAGTTCAGTTTTTCAACAGACGCAATATACGTTTTTAAGTCAGTTTCTTGAAAATAATTAAAAGATGATTTTTTCATTCCATTTCAGTTATGCGTTTGTTCTTTCACTTCTGAACGTTATGTAATGCCACGCCCCCTCACTATGATTGGCTGAGCAGACCGTCACTCCAAACAGAACCAGCCAATGGTAGTGCGCGGATCAAGATACAAACTAATACAAACTATCCGCCGCCATGTTGTATCTCCGCGGCCCGGAGGGACGTCCGGTCGTAAATAGTAAATGACGGTACCGCCCGCTGGGCCGCTGACTGGACCGGACCACTGCAGGACGCCATGAGCCGCCCGTCCTCAGCCGGAGGTGGAGGACTGGGAGCCGGTAAAGCAGGCGGGGGAAAGCACGGAGGCTCCGGAAGCACCGCTTCTGCTGCCGCCGCCGCAGCCGCTGCCGCGGCCGCAGCAGTGGCAGCAGCCGCCGGTGTAGGCTCCGTTCCCGGCTCGGGTTCCGCCGCCGCGTCCTCCTCCGGGTCGCTGCCGCCCGTCGCGGCTCTCCCCGGTCAGCCCCCGGAGCTGACTGCGCTATTCGAGTGCCCGGTGTGCTTCGACTACGTTCTGCCGCCCATCCTGCAGTGCCAGGCGGGTCACCTGGTCTGCAACCCGTGCCGCCAGAAGCTGAGCTGCTGCCCGACCTGCCGCGGCCCGCTCAGCCCCAGCATCCGGAATCTGGCCATGGAGAAGGTGGCCTCCACGTTGCCGTTCCCTTGCAAGGTAAGGCATCGAACCTGACCGGACCGGTTCGAACCGGGGCCGGGAGACACCGCTCACTCCGCTCGACGCTTCCACTGCATGCGCGCGCCGGGTGACGTGAAGGGGATTCCTTCTGAATCAAAACAAAGCTAGAGGCTGGAGCCGGTTCTGGTCCAGAAACAGAACCAGGAATGAGATATTCAGGTGGTCAGAGCGCAGGAGCCTGGTTCTGGTTCTGGACCCTCAGGAACCAGAGACAGGGTTCAGTATGATCCTTTTCTGGAATAAATATTATTATTAATTAAATGTTGATCTGGTTCTAGAGCTGTTTGGGTCAGGTTCTGGTTCTGTTGCTCGGTGTAACAGAACCTGCCATCTCTGGTTCTGTTACAGACCCATTAAAGTTGAAGTGGATTGGACTGAAATCTGAGTCATGACCTCTGACCTGATCTGGGTTTTGGTTCTGGTTCTACACATCAGTGTCAGAAGAGTGTCCTCTTAACTCTGGGAGATTTTTTCTCATCAAAACAGCATATATATATATATATATATATATATATATATATATATATATATATATATATATATATGTGTGTGTGTGTGTGTGTGTAAAGTTTCATTATGTTTTTTCTGGTAAAATTGTCCTTATTCTGCTAAAATTATTATTTTAGCAGAATAAGGCAAATAATGCTATTTTAGCATTATTTGCCTCTGATTTGATGCTGTTCAGGAATAAAAAACACTTTTTACTATATTTTTATTATGTATTATTTGTTTTTAGAAAAGAAAGTGAGGGGAAAAGAAATCATTCAAATCTGATCTGGTTGGAAAAAACTCAGATTTTATTTTTAAGCAGCAGAATCAGAACCTGTAGAACCCAGACATCCAGTTCTGGTTCTGTTCTGGTTGTGACTCGGTTCCGGTCCATTCCCCTCTCCCTGCAGTACTCTGGTTCTGGCTGCCTGCTGGTCCTGCACCACAGCCAGAAGGCCGACCATGAGGAGCTGTGCGAGTTCAGGCCGTACACCTGTCCCTGCCCTGGAGCCACCTGCAAGTGGGCGGGGCCTCTGGAGGCCGTCATGCCACACCTGATGCACACGCACAAGTCCATCACCACACTGCAGGTCAGAACACACACACTCACCTGTCTGGAGTCCAGTCAGCACCAGCAGAACTAGCTCTACTGAACGCCTGGAAACTGTTAATCATTAGAATAATCGATCCGTAAACTAATCAATATTTCCCTGCAGATATCCTGATTCTGACCAGAGTTTTGTAAACTTCTGAGTTCATGGAGAAAAAAACTGCAGATGTTCTCAGGTTTTCATCAGAACTGGTTCTGCTAGTTTTGACTAGAACCCAGATGACTGGTTCTGATCGGACAATAAATCAATAACAAAAGCTTTAAAGACGTGATCAGTATCAATAAATAAAACATCTGAATGAAAGTTCAATATTTTCACTGATCTATGATCCCAAACTGCACAGCATTCTGGGAGATGTAGGCTTTAGCCAATTACACTGGATCAGCGAAGGCTTAGTTTCTGGTTGCCTGGCAACATCCTGCTGGGTAACAGACATTTTCAAATTCCGCCCCTGACTTTGGTTGCCTAGCAACAGTCTGACACAGCAGCAGTTTCAGGTTTCTCCACTTTGAAATCAATATGGAGTGAAAATTGGACAAAAGGTTAAAGGTTACATCACCAGTTCTGCTGTATGTCCAATAATAAAAAAAACTGATCAATAATTATCAACACAATAAAGTTTTCTAGCTGTACCGTCAAGGCCTGGGCGTAAGTGTTGTGTTTGAGCCGCAGGTCAGAGGTCAGCATTCTGTCTCTCCACAGGGCGAGGACATCGTGTTCCTGGCGACGGACATCTCGCTGCCCGGTGCCGTGGACTGGGTCATGATGCAGTCCTGCTTCAGCCACCACTTCATGCTGGTTCTGGAGAAGCAGGAGAAGTTCGAGGGCCACCAGCAGTTCTTCGCGGTGGTTCTGCTCATCGGCGCCCGCAAGCAAGCCCAGAACTTCGCCTACCGCCTGGAACTCAACGGAAATCGGCGCCGCCTCACCTGGGAGGCCACGCCCCGCTCCATCCACGACGGCGTGGCGGCGGCCATCTTGAACAGCGACTGCCTGGTGTTCGACACGTCCGTCGCTCACTTGTTCGCCGACAACGGAAACCTGGGCATCAACGTCACCATCTCCATGTGCTGAGGACGACCCAGTACCGACACGACCCGGTCCAAATTGGGTCTGATGTAAACTGTTGAAATAAAAGTTCTGGTGGTTCTGGTTCATTCAATGGTCTGTCAATCAGAACAGTGTCCAACTCGGAGACAGAACTGTTTCAGTTTGTTGGACCCATGCAGCTGGCAGAAACTTACGGGTTGATAGCCCATTTCTCCAGGGTTCGGTTCTGAACAGACAGAACTCTGACTGGGCTCTGTCACATGACCTTTGACCTTCTGTTGGCAGAACTTCTACATCATCAACTGGTTCCAGCAAAAATTCTCTTATAGGTCAGCAGGGGACGGAACCAGTTCTGGTTCTGGTGTTTCCCTTCAGCGTTGAGAGGAGAACCAGAACCCCTGAGATGACTTCAGGTTTGCTGCAAATCAGAACCACTGGGTCTGGATCAGTAGAACCATGTGTTCCTGACTGTTCTGAAGGGCTCTCAAGCCAAACCGGACCAACCCTGGGATTGGGAGGTTGCTGGTTCTGATCCAGCAGCGAACAGTTCACCACCACAGCCTTACTTTTCTAACGCTGCCCTCTTTCTGTGTTGCTGAAGTTCTGTTGAGACCCGCTGGACCCGGAGTACTGCTCAGCTCTACAGAACCACCGAGACAGAACCAGAACACAAACAGTTCAGGTTGACTAATGATACCTCAGAACTCCTCCAGAACCCCTCAGATGGCGGGAACTGGACCCTGACTGCAGCTCAGGACATGCTGGTTCAGCAGAATCTGCAGATTTGGGGTCAAAGTTCAAGCTTAGAATATTTCAAGCTACTATAGAGATCAGTTTATGTGAGCAGAAGAAGAAACTTCAGCAAATTCTTTTGTTATTAGGGCCTTTAAACTTCCTGCTGAGGCCGGAGTGAAACCTCCGGCCCTTTAAATCATTCCAGGTAGTTAAACGTCACAGACACCATCAATCAACATATGAATGTAAAACACCTTGAATACATCAATAAGGAATAAAATCTACCACCATTACACTGTCAGGGGTTCTACTGGCTGAGGCTAGCGTAGCATCGTTAGCATGCTAGCTGTTCCAAATAAATTTCTGAGTGACGAGGAGATGAGCTTCAGATGTTGAACATAAACTCTGTCCTTTAGTTGGTCTATGATTTGGTTAAACTGGTTCCGGGTCAGTGTGCTGGTCCAGTCCTCGCTGAGATAATTTGAATAACATCGGATTGTCAGATTCAGATAGACCCGTCTGAATCCCTTCAAACACTCCTTATGGAAAATAACTTATTTTTCTCTGTTTAAAAAAAAAAAACATATCAGGCGTCCAAATGGACATTAAATAGTCAGCTCTGACCTCAGAACCGCCCCAGTTTGGTTGGCAAGCGATGAGAGATGCTAACATTGTTAGCCTGGATGCTTGGTGCAATAATAAGGATTTATCAGAACTTTTTCACTTGAAACTGAAAAAGTTGGCATGACATCAAAGACTGACTTCTTGTTGATTTAAAATGATACTTTATGTTTCCTTAAGCCCGCCCAACGCTTTATTCTGATTGGCCAGTTTAAAACAACCTACAGAAAAATGTGTGAAGAAATTATTTCCACTGTTTGCTGTCTGGAGGTAGATTTATCTTTTTCAGATGTTGTAACCAAATAAAAGAGTGAATAAACAATTATTTTATTTGCTTCTATTATGTTCTGTGTCGGAAACATTCGGCTCTGTCTGGATAAACCCAGATCAGAACCCGGTCCAGACCAGTGACTCAGAAAAGGAGGGAATCACCATAGTAACCAGTGACTCAGCATTTTCCAGCTTCTTTTTCTTGCTATTGAACTTCAAACATTTCTCAGAAATGAAAGTTTCAGCCAGCTTTTAATCTTTTTTTATTATTAAAAGTTTTTTTTCTGCTGCAGTTTCTGGCCAGCGCCCCCTGGTGGCGGGACGCCATGCAGCAGCAGAACGTGACATCACATGAAACAGTTTGAAAAGAAACAAACGGTTTCACCAACCATCGTCTTCATCTACGCTCCGTCTCTCGCCTCCAGATGTCACTGTCTCTTCTTCGGCTGTCCTCTCTGTCCCTCCATCTGTCCTCTCTGTCTTCCTCTCTCCTGTCCTCTCTTCTTCTAACATCATCTCTCCGACCTGTCTCTCTGTCCCTGATGTCTCTCACCCTCCTTTCTATCTCTCTATCGTCTCTCCTTCTGTCCCTGTTGTCTCTGTCCTCTCTTCTGTCCATCTCTCTGTCCGTGGAGAGATGGACCCGGGGGTCCTTCCCTCTGTCCGGCAGACCCTGGTGGTTGTACTTGTCATAGGCGGCGTCCTGTTTCTCCTCTTTGACACGGATGGCTGCAGGAGGACGAGGAGACGAATCGGTCGAGGAAGATGACTCTCTGTTCTTTTTCTTCTTCTTTTCCTTCTTTTCTTTCTTTTTCTTCTTCTCTTTCTTATCTGAGGGAAATTAAAACAGCAAAAGAAGACATTAAGAGGCGTCTAGTTTTGGGTTGAGAGTTTCTTGTCAGCAGGAAGTGACCTCACCCTTCTTGGCTTTCTTCACGGGGACATCCTGCTGCTCGTCTTCCTCAGAGGGGGCGGCAGTAGCGGGTTCACTGGGTGCACAGCCGTCTTCTCTGAGACGCTTGGTGATGTCATCAATGTCCTCGTGGTCTTTGGGAGGACGGTAGTTCTTCACATGGTCCACCCGAATGGTCCGCCCCTTGATCTGGAGACCAGAAGCATGTCAGTACCAGCTTCTGGTGCCGCCCTCTGCCTCTGGGCAGGGGGGGAGGGTCTTCTCAGCATGCTCACCTTGATGCCGTTGAAGTTGTCCACAGCCAGGATGGTGCTTCTCTGGTCCTCGTAGCAGACGAAACAGAAGCCTTTGGACTTGCCCGTCTTCTTGTCCCTCACCAGGTTGATGTTGACGATCTCGCCGTACCTGACCGGAACGTAGCGTTAGCGCCATGCTGGCAGGACGACCTCTGGAGGTCAGAGCGAGCGGGACTTACTGGGAAAAGACGCAGATCAGGTCGCCCTCTGTCAGCTCGTAGGGAAACCCACCTGCAGGACCACAACACACACACACACACACACACACACAGCTGATGACTCACAGTAGGTCATCATTCACACTCTGTTACATCACTTCCTGTCTGGACCTGGACGGCAATACGGACAACTAAAACAGTGAAAATTAACTGCATTATTATTACTTACATTTTAATGTCTTATCATCACAATTTCCAACATTTCCTTTTTGAATCTTTGTACTAATTAATGGATTAAACAATCATTGTAAATTCTTTACAATTTCATGAATTTTTTTGTGATGTTTTTAGTTTTTATTAATCAAAATGTATTATTGTGTGAAACTATTTTTAGAAATATCTACAACAATTTTGCACTTTTTTCCTCTTGATGTTCCCTTCGAAATCCACAAATAGAAACAATTTGGAAAAAAATAAATAAACAGCCAAATTTAAAATTTTTATTCTTTGATAGTGAATAAAAACTAGACATCAAGTCAGACTGAAGCAGCAGGAGAAACAGAGTCACTTAAACTATAATTTTTGTCATTTTTACAGAAAATTTTAAATAAACTCAGTTATTTGTTACTGTTAAGAACTGAATGGATAATCACTATATTTAGAAATTAAGCCTGAGAATATGAATGCAATGTTTGACAGAACAATAGTAAACAGTTTATTGAATGATTTAGACATCAGTTAGGATCTTATTCGCTGAGCTGTGTCTGTGGTAGCTGCAGATTTCTGGCCACTTCAGGCCTCCGTAGAAACATGTGTCAGGTGAAGACCTCACCGACGAAGATCCAGGCGCTGTCCCTGTACTCGCTGTGCCAGGACACGGCTTCCTTGATGCCCAGGTCGGCCTCGCGCTCGTTCAGCTCATTGATCAGCTTCACCTTCGTCAGCGGACTGCAGACACAACAGAACCGTCGAGTCGGACTCAACAACCAAACTGGACAAATTAGGACAAGTTTAATAAATCCATGCATGGTTTAAATATTTATCTCCTTATAACAGCCAAAGGAGCTGTTCTACATTAGTCTCGTCCATCCTCCGGTGTGAGGTCAGGTCAAATTTATTTCACATCTTACTGAGAACTTTCTCCTCTCTGCTGCCCTCCTGGGGCTTAGCCCCCCTGGAGGTTATATCTTAAAACCGGCCCTGCCGTCAGGTTAAAGTCCACAAAGACTAAACCAATCCAGCATTAAATTTTTGGTAGCAAGAGAAACCTTTCACATCACATAACTAAATAAGGTTGAATCATTTTCAAATCCTCAGGAAGAAAACGGTCCAGCACTAAAATTATAACGTTTTGGCGTTATTGTGTGAGCCGATTTAGAGAGCACCATATTTCTGTCTCTGTGGATGTTCGAGTTTGGGTCTGTTTTGATTCATCAGCCGGTTATTCACAGGCTTAAGTTTAAAGTGATCAGATTGTGAATGAGGTCCGGGGAGGAGCGGAAGAGCGGCTGCATCCCGGACCAGCGGCGGCTGCAGGTCGGCTAGAGTCTGAAGGAAGAGGTCCTCGGGTCATCGGTTCACTGCCAGCAGAAAAGCAGCCTGACTGGAGGAGAAAATCACTTACTTCATGGTTGAATACAGCTCCGAGGAAGCGGCGTGAGGAGGAAACGGTCTACTCTGTTTACATGAACAACTTCCGCTTCAAAACTCTCCTATACTGCCACCTAACGGTCAGATCTATGTAGTGCTATTTATTTATTTAAATGTATATACTGTAAATCATCTGAGAGTTTAAAAGATGAAATAATTAAATAACGTAAATTAGATGAACAGTAATGAGATTTGAATATTTTTCCTTCCCAATGAACCAGATAAAACAATCCGTTCTACTCCCCTCCTTTAGGGGGCGCTGTGAAGCTAGCTGTTAGCTGTTGAGCCGGTTTAAAGTCTGCCTGGTCTGCTCGTAAACATTTCATTTATGTCCAATTTGACATCTAAATATTTCAGAAAAATAGTTTATTCCAGCGTTAATCAGTCTGTTGTGAGCTAGAGTCATGAAATATCTTCCGTTTAAAAATAATTTAGCTAAATGTAATAACCTAGCTGCTAAATTAGCTCTTCTGCTGTTAACTGAGGCAACTTAAACTTTCAGGATTTTCATGTAAATAAGCCGAACCGAACTGAACGGGGTCCAGCTCTTAACTTCAGTGGTGAGTACATTTAATGAAAACCCGAATGGTGGAGGTCATTTAAAGCTTCTTGACAGTTTCTGATTGTGGAGGTTTCTGTTTGGTGGAACAGAGGTATGGAAGTGAAACGTCACAGGAGCGGAGGTGAATAAAATAGAAATAAAAGAAGGTTGAGGACGTTAGGGACCGGGGTCAAAGGTCCAAAGATTCCGGAAAATGGGCAAGGTCATTTTATTCTGATAAAAGATTTCGGCAACAAGGTAACTGAAAGAGTTTTGCATGATTAGAAGGAAAACAAAAGAAGAAACAAGCAAGAACAACAACAAAAAACATGACACAGCAGGCTAAAGGTTGAAAAACAGACACAGGTTATGATGCTCACCAAATCTCACCAAATCAATTCTAACCAGGTAGGTTTCTGCCTGGTTTTGAAGAGACTCAGTGTTTCGGCTTGTTTTCAGTTTTCTGGAAGTTTGTTCCAGATCTGTGGTGCATAGAAACTGAATGCTGCTTCTACATATTTGGTTCTGTCTCAGACTTGGTTCTGGTCTAAACTGGCTGAGCTCCCAGTAAAAACAACTGGGCTCTTTTCTGACCAGTCAGAATGCAGCCTTAGCTGTGCCAGGTTTGGGTCAGTTCTGTTGCTCCTCCTGTCAAACAGGGGGCGCTTTGGAGCTCAGCCTGTGGTAACCTTCTGTTTGTCTCAGAAGGATCAAGACGACAACGATGATGATCTCTCAGCTCTTCATCTTGTCCTCCAAGGGCGACCACCTCATCTACAAGGACTGTATCCTTGTGACCCGGTTAGCTTCAGGTCCTGGTCCTGATCTTAGTTATGGTTCTGGGTCTGGATCTGTTACTGGTCATCCCAGCATCAGCCAATCAGAGTTCGGCTTTTTTCTGCGTTCAACACTTGACTCTGAGACTCAGACCGTGGAGAGGCAGGAAGTGATGTCATCGACGTTTTCTATGAGAAGGTCACAGCGCTGACGGGAGACCAGCCACCCGTTGTCATGGTAATGCTGCCGTCCCTCTCTTCCTTCCTCCATCCCTCCATCTGACCCTCTGTTTTCCTACAGAGTCATAAAGACCTCCACTTCGTCCACATCAGGCAGGGCGGTCTCTACTGGGTTGCCACGACGACAGCCGACTCCTCTCCATTCAGCATCATCGAGTTCCTGAACAGGTTGGTGTTGGTTCGCCTCCAGCTGCTGACCTGTCGGCCGGTGGTGACCTCTGACCTCTGCTCCAGGCTCAGCGGCCTGGTGAAGGACTACTGCGGCAGCCTGTCAGAAAAGGCCGTGCAGATGAACTTCGCCCTGATCTACGAGCTGCTGGACGAGGTGCTGGTGAGTCTGTGGCCACAAAGTCGCTGTGCTGCTGGTCTGACCAACAGCAGAGACGCCCTGAGCCAGAGCCGTAGCTCCGCCTACACACAGAGCACTTTGTGCTACTGCTACTCATAGTAATGAGATATTTAACTGAAAATGTGTGAAGAATGCAAATAAATATCAAAAATCTTTAGGATCTTTAGGATTGGAGACTGAAAGGCCTAATGAAAAATTTGTATATCAACAAAAAGTTTGCTTCATTTGCACAGTTGAGGGACTGTTTCTCTCTTACGGATGCAGATTTTGTCAGATATTTGCAAATTAGAAATTACATTTGATTTAACATCCCAAATTTTGAATTTCTTCTGGAAGAAGATAAAATATGCAAAATGCTGCTGGGCTCTCCAGAATAAAAAATAATAATAATTTTAAGCTTTATTGACATCTTTGGAGAGCGAATTAATTTTGCCACAAACTCCTTGAGGGCTGCGTGTGTAGCCTGCACAAAATAATAACCCCGTATTTTATTTTGGCGGGTCAAACCGGACAGCACGCTTTAAATTCGGGGTCAGAACTGCACTCGGATCTGCTCAATTGCTTTTGCTGCTGTCGCTGTGGCTGGCTGCTGGTGTTGGCGTTTTCCTAAATCGCTGAAGAATATTGCAAAATCGAGCCCAATTAACACAGCCGAAGGATTATATTGGGTATAGTCTGACAACTGCTCGACGGTGAGTCGTTTATTTTACGTCTTTTGTTTTTTTTGTATAGTAGAAATGCGGTGGCGACACGCCCACTTAAAATGATGTACTGGCGTCTTAGAATGGTCTTGTAAACTAAAAGATCATTCTTTCTTTGTTAATTTTGTGGCCGAATAGAATATATATTCTCAATGAATTAAGCAAACCTTTTGATTTTTGTAAATTTGCCCTTTACGGATACTTTTAGTTACTTTTCATTGATTTTGTTAACGGCCAATGGAACTTTGGAATTGGTTAATTTCTTTAGGGTTGCGCAACAAAACAGAAAAAAAAAACTATTTGAAGTAGTAATTAAGTCAATTAAGTTTAATTGACTTTAATGTCAATTAAACTTGGATACAACTTGAAAGTGCACTTTATTAGATCTGTGACTTTATTAGATCTCTGACTACTTGATCTGTAACTTGATTCTAATCTGTAACATTAATGTGATTAATTTGAAACTCATTTGAATCATTTCTGATAAGTACTTTATGGAATATAACTATTTTTTGTAATGAATGTTTATGTGTCTCAAATAGCAGATTAAGCCTGTTACATGCTAATTTGTTTTATTTATGACCTTGTTTAGGTCAGGTTTTTTTCCACCCCCGGTTTCAACCCAGGATGGTGAGCTACCAGATCACCGCAGCTTTGCGGTAGGACTAACTTGGACCAAATTGCTTTAGTTCTCTGGACCTATAGCCCTGGATCATGGACTAGGGAAAACAAAAGGACCTAGTCGGACTGTGATTGGTGGATCATTAATCACTCTGCATGTAAAGTACTGGACTTGAATGAGAAAAAGAACTCTTGGGTGTTATCGGGATTTATTTATTTATTTGTTTAATTATTGATTTATTTTTGTTGTTGTCTTCTTGTTGTAATTATTGTTTATACTCATAGGAAAATACAAATATATATTATTATTATTGAATACCTCCCTAAATATATGCAAAGATATGCTTTTGAATACAATGACTTAAACTTACAACCTGTCTGTTGGTGTTTTATTCACATGCACGGGCTCCTCAGGCGAACCCTTCTGATTGCCTATTGCTATATTTGGCTGTAGTCAGGCGCCTAGCCTCAGTGAGCGTTACACGTGGGAGGAGGAGCAGGGTTTGCAGAATGGGAGTGAAGTCTGGGAGGATTCGGTCTTGTTCTATCAATGTAAAGCACCAGTTAATTCAGTTCAAGGTGTTTCACAGACGCCACTATTCTGAAATTAAATAGTACAGAATATTCCCCTCAAAATGTGATAAATGTAAGTTAGTTGATGGCTCCCTGTCTCATCTGTTCTGGTCATTCCCCAAACTCTTCCAATATTGGTTTGACATTTTGTTTTCTGAAGTATATAAGAGCACGTTGGTTCCAGACCCCCAGATTGTTTGGATATTCTCCTTCACTGAGGAACCGCAGCATTTCCATGCAAACGACTGTGGTGTATGGAATGGTAATAGATAAGAAAGTAATATTAATATGCTTCATACTCTTGTGTATGATTTATGTATGCTGTATTTTGAAAACTTAATGAATATTTGTATTACATAAGAAAAGAGAGACCGGAGGAAGGGTCCATGTCCATTTGTCCATCTGTCCTGGTCTAGACATGAATCCATCTGAATAATCATTTCGCTCCAGTGTTCAGGCTGTGACTTCATGTCTCCAGGACTACGGCTACGTCCAGATGACATCATCAGATGTCCTGAAGAACTTCATCCAATCAGAGGCCGTCTCCTCCAAACCCTTCAGCCTCTTTGACCTCAGCAACGTGGGGCTGGTACGTATCGCCCCCTACTGGGGCCCCGAGTCATTACCTCTATCTCAGCCAGGCCCTGGTCACAACCTGGTCAGAACCTGATCAGAACCACATCAGGCTGATTCCATCAGCAGAGGTTCTGCTCTTCAGGTCCATCAGTCTGGGCTGAGTTGGACCAACATGTCCAACTCGTTGTTCTTGTCCAGGTTCCAGGTGAAGCCGGGTTTATCTGGTAAAATCTGGACCCGTGGTGCTGGATCTGATGGTTCTGGTTGTTCTTTGTTGCAGTTTGGAGCGGAAACCCAGCAGAATAAAGTTGCTCCCAGTTCTGCTGCCACCAGACCGATCCAGACCAGCAGGGACCCGGTAACAACACTCTGGCTGTGTTCGACCAGAACTGGACAGATGGTTCTGATGACTGACGTGGTTCTGTTGTTCTCCAGGGAGGGAAGAGCGAGATCTTCGTGGACGTCATCGAGAAGATGTCGGTGGTGATCGGCTCCAACGTGAGTTCAGTCCAGGTTCTCCACGACCAGTAATATCCAGAACCAGAACCATAGTCTGGAGGTTCTGGAGGTCCAGACTCAGAAATAGAACCCAACAAACCCGGTTCTGAAGACCGTCAGAACCTGGTGGTGTCATTCAGAGTCTCGGTGGAGATGAGACTCTGGAGAGCAGAAGGTCCAGATGAACCGGACCTTCTGCTCTCCAGCTGTCAAACCTGAAGGGTTCTGCTGGTTCTGTTGACCTATGACCTGAGCCATCAGCTGCAGGCTGAGCTGTCTGTGTTCTGACCCACAGGGGGTTCTGATGAAGGCAGACATTGAGGGAGAGATCAGAGTCAAGTGCTACATGCCGAGTTGTTCCGGTGAGTTTTAAGAACCAGAACCAGAACCGCGATATAACCAGTAGAACCAGTGTTCCCAGTAACACCAGGTGTTCCTCTGTCTCCCAGAGATGCGGATCGGTCTGAACGAGGAGTTCAGTGTGGGGAAGTCCCAGCTCCGAGGTAAGCCCCATCCCCTGACCTCTGACCCCTGTCCTGTCCAGCAGCAGGCTCTGTCCACTCAAAGGTTCTGACCCGTCCAGGTTACGGCGCCGCTGTCCGGGTCGATGAGTGCAGCTTCCACCAGTCAGTCCAGCTGGACGAGTTCCACAGCCACCGGATCCTCAGACTGTGTCCCAGCCAGGGAGAGGTGACCTCTGACCCCATCGTTGCTGAGCCCTTCACCCTGTGATGACCTCACTGACCCCTCCTCTTACTCCTTCAGCACACGGTGATGCAGTACCGGCTGAGTGACGAGCTGCCGTCGGCACCGCCGTTCCGCCTCTTCCCCAGCGTGGAGAGGGACTCAGCAGGACGGTAAGCCCCGCCCCCTCAGGGGTTCTGGTTCTGGTATCCATCAGACTGAAGAACTGTTGGTCTTCACCAGCAGGGGGCAGCATCACCATAGCCTCTGCATCCTCTATGTTTCTGCTTTTCCTCATTTTACTAAACAAACATTTTTTTTATTTGCATCTGACCTTTGACCTTATCCCCATCCTATACCGATGACGTTGTCACTTCCTGAGTTCTTGATGAAGCGTTTCCATAATATTAAAGCTGCTCAGCCTGTTTACAGCTGGCTGTTCCGATCAGGGCGTCTCCATGGTAACAGTGAACAGCCACCTGGGGGCTCAGGTCCCTGCAGGTCAGGCTGCTCTCTGATTGGCTGCTCTAATGAAGCTGTTGTTGTCCTCCTCAGGCTGCTGATGTACCTGAAGCTGCGTTGTGACCTTCCACCCAAAAGGTCAGTGTCCTGCTTCCTGAGGAGGCGGGGCCAGCGGCTCAGGTGGTGCACACCTGCTGCTCTGCGTCACTCGGCTCCCTGGGCTCAGCTGGAGATGGCTTGTTTGTTCAGGAGGAACTTGATCTGGGTTCCGATGGTTCTAGTTGGGCCCGTCAGTACCCGGGCCACACCCTGCAGCCCGACCCTGCAGCCACTGCTCTGGGTTAACATGCTGATCATGCAAATCAGGTCATAGTTGCTGCAGCTCACCTGGTTGGTTGCTAGGAGACCACAGGTAGCCTGGCTGGTTGCTAGGAGACCACAGGTAGCCGTGCTGGTTGCTAGGAGACCACAGGTAGCCGAGCTCCAGCTGGGTCCCTGTCTGAGGAAAATCAGCTTCTGGTCCTCCTGGTTCTGAACCGTCTGGTTGTACCTGAGTGGGCCTGGGTCTGATCCTGGCTCTGCTGATGGAGCTCAGTGACCCGGTTCTGATCCAGTTCTAATCTGGTTCTGATCCTGTTCTGAGCTGGTTGTGATCCGCAGTGCTGCTGTTTTTGAAATTTGTTTTGAGTTTTCCTCACTAATTCAGGCTCAGATCATCTCCTCCCTCTAGTTGACAAATAGAAGCCAGCTGCATAAACTAAAAAAATAACAGAAGAATCAAAGATTAATATATCAATCAATCAATCAATCAAATTTTATTTGTATAGCACATTTCAGCAACAAGGCATTTCAGAGTGCTTAACATCAGAACAAACACAAAACTGCAAAGTCGTCCAACATGGAATCAACGATCAAAACATGACATTAAGTCAAGTGCCATTGTTAAATTTGTAATTGATTATGTTTCAAATACAATTCTAAACAAGTGGGTTTTTAGTTGAGATTTAAAGGAAGTCAGTGTTTCAGCTGTTTTACAGTTTTCTGAAAGTTTGTTCCAGATTTCTGGTGCATAGAAGCTGAATGCAACTTCTTCTCGTTCTGGGGATGCAAAGCAGACCAGAACCAGAACCATATATATATATGAACCAGAACCTAGAAGTCACTGTAACAGGAAGATGGAGCACAGTGATGACATTGACATCGCCTTCTTCTCTTTGTAGCACCGCCATCAACCTCAGCGCCTCCATCCCGGTTCCTAGAGGTTCTGTGAGGTGAGCGTTGCCATGGGAGCTCTGATTTGACTGTGGTTCTGGCGTTTGGTTCTTGACCCGATTTGGTTTGTAAAGTCGAATGGAAATAAGGAGCTGGCATCCGTCCCTGATGGGACGGATCCGATGGTAGAACCGGAACCTGTCTAGGCCGTGGATGGATGCTGACCCCACAGTGACCTCTGACCCCTGTGTTTGTCCCCAGTCTGTCCCAGGAGCTCAGCAGTCCGGATCAGAGCGCGGAGCTGCAGCTGCAGAACAGAACCGTGTTCTGGAAAATCCCGCGGTTCTGTGGAGGAACCCAGCTGTCCGCCCTGTTCAAGGTGATCCTGTTCTGTTCTTTCTACCTGCTGGTATCAGAACCTATTCACCAGAACCTGTAGATGGAATAATGTGTCCAGTTTCTGACCCGGTTCTGGAATCATCTGCTCCATATTTTCAATCATTATCAGAGCAGATGGGTTCTGTACAGGTTCTGGGCTGACAGGTCATGGTATCAGTAACAGAACCTCTGATTCTGTCCTGTCCTCTGTCCCCAGCTGGATGTTCCGGGTCTGAGCTCCGCCTCCATGCTGGAGGTCGGCCCGGTCGGGCTCAGCTTCGAGCTGCCTAAGTGGACCGGAACCGGACTGCAGATCCGCTTCCTGCGCCTGTCTCCCATCCATCCCGGCCCGTCTCAGCGCTGGGTCCGATACGTCACGCACTCCGACTCCTACATCATCCGGATCTGACCTGGTTCTGAAACGGCTGGACCCGGTCTGAAGCTCTGAAAATTTAGTTCTGTTGGACCTTTTAAATCAGGACTCTGAGTTTAGAACTAGGAGGAAGTTCTGTGCTGATTCAGCCCAATCACGCTCACTGACCCGTTCCACTTCTGCTTCAGAACTTCCTGCTGATAATGATTCACCAGCCGACCCGGACCAGCGCGGCGCTGAAGGTTAAACCCGGCTGCGGCCCGGCCTGACTCGCTGGGCTCGTCCCTTCCTCTGGTGTCCCACAGGAAGGCCCGCGGTTCTGATCCAGAACAGCGACAGGAAGCGGAGGAGGCTGCACAGACAGCAGTAACTGGGTCGGGTCTGGACTTCCTGATGGAAACAGTTCTGACAGGCCCGGTTCTGCTCTGCTCCTGTTCAGGGCAGAACCAGAACCGGTCCAGAACTCCTCTGACCCGTCCGCCTGATAGTTACCCTATCACCTCCTGCAGTTCTTTTCTGCAGGAAAAGAACTCTTTTGAGTTCTGTGATTTGAATAAGTTACTCTGATTAGCACTTAGCGCTAACTCTGAAGCTTCCACTGCATTAAAGTGGATGGATAAATTCTGAAGCACTGATTTCCTTTAATGGTTTTTAAGATTTCAGTTGAATGAAGTTTGACATCTCGGTTGAAGTTTTGTTTTTTGACTGTCAGAAATCTTCAAAAAGTGAGACGTTATAGTCATGCTCCGATTCATCTCTCCACAGTGAACAGTTAGCAATAACAATAAAACTTAAACATGGTGTAATTCATGTCTCTGACACATGGGGCATATCAATATGACTGAATTTAGTGCTTTATTATTCACTCCTGCTAATTACCATGTTGGTATTGAGCTCTAGCATTACCTTTGGTTGGATTATATGTGGGGATAGCGCTTTAGCATTAGCTTCTGCTAATTACTGTGTTGGAATAGCTACTTAGTCCTGGCAGAACTAATATTTATGATTAGTGCTTTAGGGTTAGCACAGCTAGGTTTGTAGTTAGCGGTTCTACCACTGACTTAATGTCCTTCCTCAGTGGTCATAGAAGCAGCCATACAGGCTGACCTTTGACCTGTGGAGGGACCCGGACCTCCTTACCTGCTCTGTTAACAGAACTCTGAGGTGATCCAGATCCATAACTGTAACAATAACCTAAATATTATTCTGATCAGTTTCACTTCCTGTCAGATGTTGAAAGCTTCCAGATGTTTGTCGATGAAGACTTCCAGCTGTGAGCCCAGCCTTTTCCTCCTCTCCCTCCTCTTCCTCAGCCTCTGGGCCGTGTGCAGAACCACCCAGAGCTCCTGCAGCCGAGTGAACATGTTCTGTCGATTAACATCTCGTTCCACTCAGCGGACCGCAGGATGGAGCCGGGTTCTGCTGGGACAGGCTGGAACACATCGGCACCAAGAGGAGCACAGACGGTTCTGGTCGGGACTCAGAACCAGAATCTGGAGCAGGATCGAGATTCTGGAGGTGCTTGAGTCAGTTCTGACCCAGAACCAAGAAGTTCTCTGTTTTGCTTTCATGTTAAGAATTTTAGTGTCAGTTTCTATGGCAACTGAAGCTAATGAGGCTTCTTACTAAATATCAACTAAAAACAAAACAACTTCCTGCTGAGTCATCCTCTCTTCTTCTGCTGTAGAAACGTTTCACAGCCTGAAGACCTTCAGACTTTCATCATGATTAATGTTCATCAATAAATTATGGAGGTTTGGTTTTGATCTGGAAACCAGCTGGACCCGACCAGCTAACCAGGACCGGCCCAGTTCTGCTGGCTCTGACCTCAGATAAGCAGAAGGAAACGGGTCAGCGCCGCAGACCTGCTGCCTCAGCTGTTCTGGGGAAACAACAACAGGCTGGACTGAACTGGTCCTGGGTCAGAAGAACCAGGCCAGTGCAGCGTTCAGCTGGACTCAACAGGTCCCGGTTCTGAGCCGGTCCGGCTTGTGAATATTCTCTCTTTAATAAATGAGCTTTTATGCTTCTGACTCATTGAAATGGTTTTATTTTCAGGTATTTATTTATATTTTTAACAGTTTTTCAGAAACTTGTCAGGAAGCTTCAGACTGATCATGTTAAAAAACTAAAACAGCTGAAGAAATTATGTTTGCATATTTGTGAAAATATTATTATTAATATTCGTTCTCTTTTTCTAATAAAGTTAGAACCCGATCCGGGTTCTGATCTCGGCTCTGAACCGGTTCCGATTTTGTTCTCAGTTCTGAACCGGCTCTGGTTCTGATCCCGGCCCGGTTCCTCTCGGATCTGTTGAACGTTTCACGCATCGTGTTGACATGTTGGAGGTCTCCGCGTTGCGCAATCTGCAGTCTGCGCGCGCACACACACGCACGCAGACGCAGGTTTGTGTTCCCGCATCCCTCCCGTCTTTCTCCTCCTCCTCATCTGGACCGAGTCCTTCGCGAACCTTAAATCTAAGTTGTAACCTTCGCAGTTGCGGTGGAAGTGCGCTGGTCTTCGGCAGTGCGGGTTCGCGGCGCGCTCGGTCCTCACAGACCTAGCAAGCCCGCTCTCAAACACGCAGCCGTTGCGGAAGCTCGGAGCAGCCGAGGCGGCGCTAAAACCTATTAGCATACTAACCAGTTCTGGGTGGATGGACGGCTGAACGGAACCTCCCGGACCGAACCGATACCGTCTGACAACCAACAACACTCCGCCGGCTCAGGCCTCATTTTGTCGGGATTCTGCTGCCGTCCGCCTGCCGAGGAGATGGGGGACAAGGCGGGCACCAGGTAGGGCTGTTAGCCGCTGTTAGCTGCGGTTCTGACGGGCTGAGCTAGCGTTAGCAGCCGCTCTGCTGGTTCTGGACGGGGGAGTTGGGCCAGGCGGCACCGGAGGGTTTAACAGCTTTATTGGAAGGGGGTACGCGAATCGGGCCGAACAGAACCCTTGGGGCTCGGTTCGCGTCTGTTGCCCCTGAGGACGCCAAAGCTGCGGGCGAAGTTAGCCCCGCAGCAGGGTGGGGTTAGCGGGGCAGCCCAGGCTCCAGAACCGGTCTGACCAGAGCCACTTCTGTGGGACTGGAACAAGTTCGGGTCGTGGGTGGAAAACACGACTCCAGCATGAAGACAGGTGGGCGGAACGGACCCTGGAAAACCTGGACTTTCTCGGAGATGTCCGTTATTTCCGCCCGGGAACACACCGAGCTGCTCCGGTTAAATATCAGCCTGGTTTTGGGTCCACCTGCTGGTTCCGACCCAGCTGGAGGAGCGGGTCGGCCCGGGTTCAGTCACCGGTCTGAAGCCAGGAAAACAGGAAGCCAGTCTTATGGCCTTATGGTTCCTGCAGAACCATAAGGCCATAAGACTGTAGTTTGTGTGTTTTCATCAGAACCAGAATCAGGTCGGTGGAGCCCACCAACCTGCTGCAGAACCTGCTGCATGTGGATCCAGTCGAACCCTGATTCCCAGTTTCACATCCTGGTTTTAGGAGTTTCTGGGTCACCTTCCATGGAAACTCAGGAATAAGTTCATGAATTGGTTCATGAAACAGTTCAGGAATCAGTTCAGTTGTTGCTGTGGGGTAGATGGAGCCCCAGTAGCAGTCAGTGGGACAGTGACTCTTTGAGGCCTCTGACTGCAGACGGTTGGCTCATGCTAACATGAGGCAACCAACATGCCTGATGCTCTCCAGGATAACATTTGGTTGGGAAGTTGTTGTTTAGCGACCAGATAATGACCAGAACCAGAACAGGTCCCATTATGATCCAGTTGATCCCATGTTCTGTTTGCTGCTTTAAGGATTCACCAGCTGGTTCTGTGTACGTTCACTCCGGTTTTCATGACAGCAGTTCTGTTCTGCTGATTCCAGAACCAATCCGAGTCAGGCAGCAGCTCAGCCTGCACAGTTTGTTTAGGAAATCTTCAGTTTTCCATTTTGGAAACGTTCCAACTTCCTGAACCGCTGCTCAGCCACTTCCTGTCAGGAAGCGGCTGGCAGGGCAGGAAGAGAGGAGCCAACATGGCAGCCAGCTGCAGGAGGAGAGTTCTGGTTCTGCTGCACCCGAGTCCACAAGGACTCACCGGGGGAGAACAGGCTGGTTTTGGTTCAACTGCTAGTTCTGGTTCTGGTTCAGTGTTTCCTGCTTCAGTCCCGGAACATTCAGAACACCGAGACCGGAGTCAGGGTTACACTGTGTGGTTCTGGTTCTGGTGATCAAACAGAACCCAGTTTGGACCAAAAGTAGAGGTGCATACTTGGCCAAATGAACCTCTGGTTCTGTAGAATCCGGCTGATTCTGAGTCAGATCAGCAGAAGCAGTACACAGCACCATCCTTCCACCGCTGTGTTCCTGTTTGTCCATCTGATTTCTAGAGAGAAGAGGCTTTCAGGATTGTGACCTCTGACTTTTGTCCTTCTACCTGTAGAGGCTGACATGAAGCTTGTTTCTCTGAGCTTCCTGCTCTGTCCTTTGACCCCAAGCTGACCCTACTGAACCAGGAGCCGATCTTCAGGTTCCTTCAGATAGAACCACCAGAACCAGCTCCTCCTCCTTGTCTTCCTCCTGCCATCTGGCGTTTTCCCAGCAGGCCTTGCTGCAGCAGGTGGAGGTGATTCCCAGGAGGAGCTTCAGTCTGTAAACACAGCAACATCAGCAGTTGGGACAGAACCAGAACTTGCTCCAGTCTGGGTCTGACTCATTAATACTGAATAATAAATGGGAGATAAAGGTCAAAGGTCAACCAGATTACCAGAATCGGAGCTGGTGGGTCAGCTTAACCGTTGGACCAGACTGGGATTCTCCTAGAATCGGAACGTGACATCACACCTCTGTGGAGCTGCTCCAAACACGTCACTGGTTCTGATTGTTCTGGAGGACCAGCAGCTTGTTATTGTGTCAGAGGTAGAGCGACCTGCTACTTCCTGTTTGGTGGTTGTGGTTTTGATGGTGGCAGGAAGTGAGCATTGAACCCGATCAGAGTATAAATGATGACGTTCTGAAGTTGTGACGGGTCTGGACCCGGACAAGAACAGAACACAGGTTCTGATCACATCACAGAGGGTCCCACCACAGCATTAGGCTATGGACTTTGACTAGGCCTCTGACTCTTCCAGAACCACTTTAGAGAAGCTGCTGCTATCGTCAACCACTTCCTGCTGACTGCACACCAACAAGAAGTTCACAAACACACTTCCTGTGGCTGCTGTTGCAACTTACCTGCAACCTAAGAACCACTTAGAACCGGAAATCCCATTCTGGACCAGTTACCCCTTGCAGAACCAGGGCCCCCTTCAAACAACTTTCTGAACCAACAGCTTGTCTCGGACAAAGACTAAATTTCTTCTTCTTTTCCTCTTCCTCCTCAGAGTCTTCAAGAAGTCTAGTCCGAACTGCAAGGTGAGTTCTGCTGAGTTCGGTCTCTGGTGGCCGGACTCGGGTTCTGTTCAGTGGTTCAGGATCTACTCAGGGATGCTGATGAACTAAAACTGGATCAGAAACGGGAAGTGAGCTGTAAAGCCTGACAGAGGGGGGACAGCGCCTCCATGTGGTTAACATGAACCTTACAGGTTCTGATGGAGACGGGTCCATCAGAACCTTCATTGGTCAGTTCAGAACAACAACCCAGTCAGACGCTAAAGACAGGTCCAGTTCAGACTGAATAGGCTGTAGGAGGAGGTTCTGTTCCTAAAGGAACCCAGGTTCTGAACACACATACAACAGAACCTCCAGAACCAAATGAACAGGTTAGAGAGTTGATCTCGGTGTCACGGACAGAACCAATCAGAACCTAGTACAGTTTATGGTTCTGCTTCTAACTGGACCTTCTGGTTCTGACCTGCAGCTCACAGTTTACCTGGGAAAGCGGGACTTTGTGGATCACCTGGACCACGTGGACCCAGTCGGTGAGTCCTGACCTCCAGAACCCTCAGATGTTTGACCAGAACCAGGTTCTGGACACCGACTGATGGGTGTTTTCTCTCCAGATGGAGTGATCCTAGTGGACCCGGAGTACCTGAAGGACAGGAAAGGTGAGTCTGACCTCAGAACTGTCATCAGGTTCTGTCGGAATCATTCCTGAAGCTGGAGGGTTTTTGTCCTTCAATCGGAATCAGAGCAGGTCAGACCCAGCAGAACCCAGAATGAAGGTCCAGTCAGAAGCTCTGGGTCTGAACCCTGACTCTGGAACCCGGATCTGGTGCTGACCTGTACTCTTCCTCTTCCTCCTGCAGTCTTCGTCACGCTGACCTGCGCCTTCCGGTACGGCCGGGAGGACCTGGACGTCCTGGGCCTGTCCTTCAGGAAGGACCTGTACATCTCCACCTTCCAGGTGAGACGCTCCACCACGAGGAACCGCCGGCTCAGACTGACACCAGAACCACGGCTCGTTTAGGAGGATACAGACCCCACGAAACACCGGTTTCCCCCAGACACTCTGCTGAGCCCGGTGGGAGGGCGCTGGGCAGTCATCCAGCAGCCTGCTGTTTTTGAGTTGAAAAACTTTTGAAGTTGACAGAAAATGTTAAAATATCATAAGGTAATTATGTGTTATTGGAAACATTAATAATACCTAAACACCAACTATAAAGTCTTTTTAAAAATCCTGAAATAAATAAACAAGCTATGCCTGTCCTGCTGGGGGCACAAGGAAACCCTGGTGGCCCGCCAGGCTTATAATAAGCTTTTAGAGTTTTGTTGTGGACCACCGAGGTAGAGATCCCTTACAGTCTTCTAAAGAAACCTGAGATTAGAAAGATCCCGTAGAGCAGGGGAGGACAACCCCAGGCCTCCAGTGTCCTGCAACTTCTGGACGTCTCTCTGGTCCAATATACTTCAATCAAACAGCTGACTAACCTCCTCAGTAGTCAGGTTCTCCAGATCTCCTTACGTGACTCAGGTGTGTCGAAGTAGAGACACATTTAAGAGCTGCAGGACAAGGGCCCTCCAGGTCTGGAGTCAACCGGGATCAACCTGCCTTAGGTTGACCCTTTAGAGTCCAGTAGTCATGCATTGAACCTGGGGCGAGGGCAATGTG